CCCCCCCCCCCCCCCCCCCCCCCCCCCGAATGCCATGCAGCTGATCATAGAAGCGGCTTGTATGGGGCTCTGACCCGGAGCGACTGTTTGCCTCCTTTGTCTTTTGGTAGGCTTGAATGAGCTCCTTAACTTTCACGTGGCACTGCTGTGTGTCCCTGTTGTAGCCTCTCTCCACCATGCCCTGTGTAATTTTTGGCATATATAGCATTTCTTCTTTTTGATCGGAGTTCTACCTGCACAGATTCTTCTCCCCATACAGCAATCAGATCCAGTGTCTCCCGTTCGGTCCATGCTGGAGTTTGTTTGCGATTCTGGGACTGCATGGTCACCTGTGCTGCTGAGCTCGCCACGCTGACCAAACAGGAAATGAAATTCAAAATTTCCCAGGGCATTTCCTGTGTACCTGGCTAGTGCATCGGAGTTGAAAGTGCTGTCCAGAGCAGTCACATTGGAGCACTCTGGGATAGCTCCCGGGGGCCAATTCTGTCTAATTGCGTCTGCACTACCCCAAATTCGACCCAGCAAGGTCAATTTTAGTGCTACTCCCTTCGCCAGGGAGGAGTACAGCAGTCAATTTTAAGAGCCCTTTAGGTCGACGGAATGGTGTTGGTTGTGTAGACTCATTGCTTATAAAATCGACCTAACGCAGCTAAATTTGACCTAACCTCGTAGTGTAGAGCGGGGCTAAGGGTAGTTAAGGTCTGGAATAGGCTTTCAGTGGAGGTTGTGGAGTCCCTATCATAGGAGATTTTTAAGAACAGTTTGGACGAATCCCTGTCAGAAGTGGTCTAGGCTTACTTGGTCCTGTTTCAGCTCAGGGGACTGGACTAGATGATTCTATGATAATCTTATGTTTATATAGCATTTCTTATTCGGTATATACCACAAATGCTTCTACAAATGTAATGATATACAAACCATCCAATGGGCTTACTTAACCTACCACTGAAATGTGGCTTTTTCTCTGTGGTGAAACTCAGCAGACATTCTATAGTGCACACCACCGTTGTATTTCAGTTTAGGACCGGAATAAAGGAGCACCTTTTTCCATCTGAAACATCAATGGAAGTGATGTGGGGAGGACGTAATTATGCTAGATGGCGTTTGACTGGGAAATAACAATTAATGCCTTTACCCTTACAAAAAGTGCAGTTGCATCTTTTACTACATGTTGTTTCGATTTGTTTTAGGTCTTATTCAAAAGATGGAACCTCCAGTAGCAAAGCGCCCCATAACATGTGCTGGGGGACTATGTCAGAACTGACTTGGAGCTAAGAGTGCCACCTGCTGGATCACCAGTGCCTCTTCCTGAAGCTCCTTTTTGGGTGTGGGTGAACCAGTACTAAGACATTTCACTTCAGAAGCTGGCTTTAACCATGGTTTCAGCACCATCTCAACATATGGTTCTAAAACCCTAGGGCCTAGGTGCCTCAGTGATGCTTTATTATTTTAAGCATAAATGTGTGTGCTGCTTTACAAGCAAGTAAAAGAAGATCTTTCTGAGGACAAAGTAGTGCCTCCTGTGTGGATGCATAAGGATGGGAGATGGTGCCAGGAGCAGGGTCATATATATTTTAGTCCTTGTTCTCCTTTGAGTACAAAGATTGTTGATTCTAGGTTCTTCCAAAATGAGTCTCTCTCCCAACCCTGTCTCTGCCCTGGCCAGCTGAGCTTGGTGACTGCAAACGGAAGCTGCACTCTTTAAAAGGGTGCTGTTGCACCTGCGTTCCTCAGATTTCTAGGCTCCGTGCCTCCCAGAGTTCCCAGTGGGGTGGTACACCTCTGCACTGCCTCCACTATAAGGCTGTGGTTAACTTCCACGACTGAGTCCTAAATTGAGACATGACAGGACATGGGAAGGTAACACTAACATGTGGTGGACACAGAGAGAGGTTTCTAAAATAAATCTGCTATGTGCACACACACTTTTTAAATAATGTGAGGTGATAATGAACTTGACAAAACGCTGAGATACAGAATTCAGCCCCAAGCTACACCCTGAACTGTTGATTTCAGCACATGTATATATCATCGCTCATCATAATGCTAAAATGGAGCAGAAATAAGATGAGGAAGGAATTTAAAACACAGCATTAGTAGCAATCGTTAGTAAAACAGTTTTCTTTCCATGGTCTTTAATGTACGTTAGATATTAGCTGTAGGGAAAAAGCATATGTAATTCCCTCTGGACATATGTGAAACAGCCTGAAGGATCACTGGTGTTAGAGAAAAATGAAGCTTTAAAATAACACACAGAAGCGTGCACACACACATTCTCTTTCCATTTCCCCCACCTATCCAAGAAGATCCTTTAAGTTAATTGCAGTTTGCTATATTTTCCCATGATTGTTAATAGTTGGTAGTATATGTTGTTTCAGTAGATTTTTATTATGTGAATTTCTCCTTCCTGTCTTATACAGACATTGTCATAAAATTAAAATACACTTGGATTGAGAAACATCTTTTATGTCTATTGGATTTTATTTTGCTCAGAATAAACTCTGAGTTTTGCACTGTAATATTGAGTAAAGAAAATATTTTTTTTCAAGCAGGAACCAGCAGCCTATGGGTAGATCCCCTCTGCCCAAAGAGCTCTTGTGGTAGCATGTTGACTTTACTGTCTTGTAACCATAAACCATTGACTGTTAGAAGCCCTTATTTTCTTTCTAAACAGAAGGGTAAGGTGAATAATGTAATTATAGCAACCTCTACCACACTGTGGGTGTGAAAGAGGCATCTGTGGTGGGCTTTTGTACTAAAAGACTGATGAGGGAAAACTTATGTGAGTGATGTAGATTTGTTGCATTTGTGACTTTAACCCTAGAAAATTCTGTTGGCAGAGACATTACTTTGTCTTTCGCTTTACACACATTCCTCTGACGTGGAGCTCAATTTACAGAGGGAGGGTGTGTGTGGCGTATGTGAGAGAGAAAGCTGGGAAGGGAGGGAAGACATACATACACAGAGCTAGTCTGACCAGAAACAGAACTGCCCCTGGCAGATTAGAGAGACAAATGAGGTTTGGAATCTGAATCCAGGAAAAGGAGAGTGGAAATTTACAGCTGCTCTAAGTGAGTGTGCGTGTTTTAGTGATCATCTCTGTTAACATTTTTTCCAAAAGGTAACAGTTACTCTGTCTTCAGCAAGCAAGTTGAGACTGAATTCTGGAATTTGTTTTCTCTGCCACGTGTCAATAATAAGGAAGAACTTATATTAAATGGAAGATAAGTAAAGGGTCCTCCAACTGGCCTGCTGGTTTGGGTCTGGCAGAGAGCTGTCTTCAGCACCTCATCATGTATCTGCTTTTTGTTGTTTAGACAAGCCTGGACATTTCTGTACACAGTGAGTATCAGCTAAGATTACCTAGTCTGAATTAAATAAAATTAGGTAATGAATTAAAACTTCCTTTTTTGGTTTATCAGTAGCTTTTTGGTAATGAAATTCTCACTTCTTGTTACCTTTTTGTAGCATTGTAAACTAGCGTGGTGTTTGTGTTTTGTATGTTAAAAGCAGTCCTAAACAGTACTACTTCTATTACATAAGGCATTGGCTCTGCTAACAAATATTCTGTACCCATGGCATATCTTTGGAAATGGGTTTTATTTACAGTGGGGATTCCAAAAATAAAATAGCTGCAATATATCACTTCTCTTGCTTCTCTCTAGTGAGGTGCTTGCAGATGCAGCTTTGCTCTTGAGATACAGAGAAATGAGAGCATAGTCACTTGCGTAAGAAATTCAGAAACTGTTGTTAAGTATATAAAATTCGAGTATATATTCAAATTGTCACATGTAACTGCATATATCATTATAAATAAAGAGATGGAGGGTGATCTAATAGGTCTCTTCCATCTCTAGCTTCTAGGTTTCTCTGAAGTAATGGGCCAGTCTGAAAGTCCTTTTTCAGGCAAAATGTTCATTTAAGTCTCTGGGGAGTTTTGCCTGAGTAAGGACTTTAGAACTTGGCCCATTTTTAGTGGTGGTAAACCCATTGCAGTGCCAAATTATTTAATGCATCATGGTGTCATAGGAAGTGATATGACTCTTTTCAAAGATATGACCAAGTGAATGGAAGTGGTGTGGGTCACTTTCCAATAATGGCTAATACAAAGCAAAGAAGAATAAATACTTGTTTGAACTGCTGGATCAAGAGTGTTATTTTTCTCCTCTTGGCTGCTGTCTCAAGTTTTTTTTTTTTTTTTTTTAATTTGGGTTCTATTACCAGTTTCTCTTGCTTCCATAATTATTACTACTAATCTAAATGGAAATTAAGCTAAAATTCCCCTTGTATATAAGTAAATAATAATAGCACCTAAATAATGGCTTTAATCTTCCAAACATTAATTTGTTAAGGGACCTGTTCCTGCATGATTGGAGACTTTGAATTTTGCTGTGAACTTCAATGGGCAGGATTGGGCTCTGCTTATGTTTCACAAACATCACTGTTGTCATGCTATAGGTAGAGATTCCAAAGACTCCTGAGTGTTACCCTTCTTCTGCTGTCAGCAAGTATCTGCAAAACCTACTTGCAAGTTGCATTTCTCATCACCTTCTAGCACTAGTCCCTAAAGAAGATAAAGTACTACTGTTGTCAGTAACTACATTAGCTCAAGTGGCAGAGGTCTATGTGGTGGATCTAAAGATTCCAATCCTGCTGATGATCTATGTGAGTGTCAGGATAGTTCCATGTGATAGAATTTTTCTCTGTTTTCTTTTTTTAAAAGCCTAGGAAATTACAACAACAAAAAACTATATTAAAAGAGCATTGTTAAGGTTGCAAAGTCAAGCACTCAAAAGTTAGGAAATGCCAGAATTAAGGTACCTGTGCAGGCTTAATTCACTCCCCCTTCCTCTTTGTGTGTTTGCATTATGAGATAGACTACGTACTATTTTTTTCCGCAGGACCCTTGACCCATTAAGTGAATGGGAATTATTCTATATTTCTTTTTTTATTCTCCTCATTGCTCACAGGCCTTATTTAATGCACACAATCCAAAGCCTACATTGAATACAAAATTATTAATTTCCTCCTGTGTGTTTCTATAGTATTCTCACCATAGTACCTGGGTGCTTCACAAACATTAATGCATTTATCTTCAGAATATTTCTGTGAGATTAAGCAGTATTATTATCTCAGTTTTCCAGGTGGGGAATTGAGGCACAGAGAGATCAAGGTCAAAAGTGCCCATTAGTTCTGGGTGCCCTACTTGAGATGCCTGGAGCCTGTTTTTAAAAAAAAAAAAAAAAAAGAGTGCCATTGTGAGTGCTCCAGCACACCTGCATATCTGACCCCATGTATCTCACTCTGAGTACCCAGAAAATTGGAACACACAGTTAGTAAGCAAATGTGAAAATTTTGGTTTGTGGTTTGTCCAACATAATATAGGAACTCTGTGGCAGAGGCAGGATAGAATCCAGTTCTCCGGGGCATCATACAACTGCTTTTAACTATGGGACAGTCCCTAGTTTTCCTGTAATCCCTTGCTTCGTTCACCACGTAACTTCCCAATTCTGATCCAAATAACAGCCTCATTTGGTGCACGCCCCTGATTCATCTCTAGAACACTGTCCATTCAGTGCCTTTTCCTGTTGAAAAATAGTATGTAATCCTGTAATTAAAGAGTATAAATGTAACGCATATACACAAAAGGGCTAAATTAACATTGCATGGGCAGCCTGAATTCTGGCATTTCCTAATCTGAGTGATTGAGTTTATAACCTTAATTGTCCTTTTAACTTTTTTTTTTTTGGGGGGGGGGGGATGCAATAATACATAATTAGCCTGCAAAATGATAGTGAAAATTTACCAGCTCCTGCACACAATCTACAAGCCATCAATGCTTTTTAATACAGTGACGGGATGGGAGGAAATGAAGATATTTTATTTACATATTAAAAAATAACTCCTCCCAGGGTAAATACGTTAATAGAATGTTGTGATTCTGGTAAACAGGGAGATACTGTATACCTAAAAGGATAAGAAAACATACAAAGTTTTCTTGCCTGAATTTGTGTAAAATGTTATACAATTATTCACTTTCAGTACCAAACTGCTTATCTCAAGTAACATGTAAGAAGAATGGATTGAATGAATCACATGCTGTCATTCTTGTGTTTGTGGGAAGGAGGAGGAAGTATTTGTTACTGAACTGCTTAGCTGAGTTACTGTATAATGATGGGATCTGCTGATGACTGAAGTAATATTGCTGTCTGCATGCCTCCTCCTTTGTTTGCAGTGTTATTGTAGCCATGTTGGTCCCAGGATATTAGAGAGACTAGGAGTGTGAGGTAATAACTTTTATTGGACCAACTTCTATTTATGAGTGAGTCAAGCTTTCAAGATAAACAGAGCTCTTCTTCAAGCTTGTCACTGTCACCAATAGTGAAGTTGGTCCACTAAAAGATATTACCTCACCCACGTTGTTTCTCCCTCCTTTATTGTCTTTATAAGCTTTGATATACTGGGGTCTTTTAAGGAAGACTGTGATCAAGAAATAAAGGAGAGCTCAGGGAGGGAGCCTATAAAGTGTATGAAAAGAAATCTGATTAAGTTTATATTTGTATTAAAGAGTTCTAGTCACACTAAACATTTCCGTATGTCACACTGGTGAACATGTAAGCTGGCTGAACAGGTTTCTGTACCTGCCAATCTAGTCACTGGAAACTCAGCTGGGCTGAGAGCGTTTGTTTTGGCCCATTATAATAGTATCTTCAAGCAAGAACTGAAAAGGGCTGGTGGCCTATCAGTATTTTTTCTTTACCTCATTTTAGCATTCCCACCTGACAAGCTGACTCCAAGCTTCCCATTGAAGCTGTTGGGTTTTGCTATTTGGTGGATGTGGGTTGGTTGTTTTTTATTAAATGCTCTTTTAGATTAAGTAGATTAGCAATGGCACATCATCTATTCTGAGCTGTAGGAACATAAACTCAGATCTGTGTAAATAGTCAGATCTTCTCCCCCCCCCCCCCCGCCTTCAGATTCACATGAAAATCAGTCTGTTAAACTTTATCCCACAGATTTGCTGAGACAAAAAACAGATTTTACCATCTTGCATGTTCCCAAAATTACCAGAGGTCTAGTTGTCTAGGTCTCAGAATCCTGGATGGGGCCGGGGGGGAGGGGAAGAGGAACCTTTAGTTTAGGCTCTTGTTCCTATTGAATGGCATTCTACATCACCCCCAAGTCTTGGTTGATAAATGTTCGCTGATAGGCCTGTGGTAATCTACAAAACTAATAGATTTGGTTTTATGGTTAATAAAGCACAGAATTGGAAGCCAAGAAATCTTGGTTTTATTCCTGACTTTCCCAACAGATTCTTATGTGACCTTTGACAAGTCATTTAATCTTTCTGTGCCTCAGTTTCCCCCATTGTAAAAGTGGAGATAGTTGTACTTACATGCCTCACTGGTATGATGTCAGGCTTCATTAATGTTTGTAAAAGTCTTTGAGATCTCAGGGAAGGCCTGCACTGTGAGTGCATAATATCACTTTGCAATCTCAGCCATTCCTTCGACTATTCCTAGTACCTGCACACTGCTGATCTCATTAGTCTCTGGACTTCATGAATGCTTGAGCTTGAGTATTAAGTTTTTGCCTTTTGTGCATGTATGATCATGAGGATGTCAAGGGAATGACAAAATAACCTGGTAAAATATAAGAGAGCAGAAGAATTTCTCACCAAGAATGAAACACACCTGCCCTGCCCACGCCTACTGCCCATCATAAAGAAGCTCTTCTTTCTGATTTTAACAGGCCCAGCCAAACATCTGGGAACGGTTGCTTTAAAAACTGCTTTTCACTATTTTTGTCACTTTTTCCCCTAAAATAAAACAAAAGCAAGCATGTTCTTTCACCAAACCCTAGCTGAATACTTGTCACTGAAATGTTGTGAATTTAGAGCACATGAAAGGTGTTGGACTTTCTAGCTGTGGAGACTGAGATGTTCTGTTTATCCACAGGTCACAACCTCAGGAAGTGGAAATACATTATTTCTCACACAACCCTGCAATGTGTCACATTCCTATACTGGAGGAACCACCTCCAAGGCTGAAAGAGTTATTTGAGCGGCAAGATGGAGTTTTGGAGTCAAATGGGCAAGTCACATGTCCATGCATGACTCAGAACTTTACAGGCCGACGCCACATTCCCAGGAAAGCTCAGATGTGGATTGGCATCTCTCAAAGTTCATTGTCAGCTTAAGTATCAGAGGGGTAGCCGTGTTAGTCTGAATCTGTAAAAAGCAACAGAGGGTCCTGTGGCACCTTTAAGACTAACAGAAGTATTGGGAGCATAAGCTTTCGTGGGTAAGAACCTCACTTCTTCAGATGCAAGCCTGAAGAAGTGAGGTTCTTACCCACGAAAGTTTATGCTCCCAATACTTCTGTTAGTCTTAAAGGTGCCACAGGACCCTCTGTTATTGTCAGCTTCAGTGTTTCTTGATTGGGCACTTACTGAGAATAGTCTTTTCTCAAGAAGCTGACCAAATGCTTCACTGAAGCTATTTAAAATCAAACAAGTACATAGCCAATATTCATAACTTCGAATACAAAAATGATACATACATACAAATAGGATGAATATATTCAGTAGATCATAACCTTTGCAGAGATATGTTACATGGCATATCTAGCATAAAACATATTCCAGTTGTCATATTTACACTCATAAGCATATTTATATAAAATATTATGGGGTGCAGCGTCACACCAGTACTTTGGGGTACCTCAGATTGGGCATTTGGAAATCAAGGTAACCAAAATACCTCCCATTGTTGTAAATATTGGCCTTTACTTTTAGAATTCAATGGACTCCATCTAGGATGGGGAAAAAAGCTTACCTGTCTAGTGATACAAAATCCTGTTGGAATTGTAGTGAAAATAGTGACTATGTAGTACAGAGGCTGTGTTCAGAAGATGTATGTAGGTTAATTCCTTTTGGGAAAAGGTAGCTAATAAGCCTTGTGATCCTTGAAGCTAACATATAAAAAATTACTACTTCTTCCCCTTTCTCCCCCCAAAAAGAGGAAACCTACTAGCCAAAAGTGGTTAATTTATTTAAAAATCGGAATAATCAAAGTTACCCTGACCCACCTGAATGTGATGTTTGTTTTTTAAAATGTCCTTTGTTAGTTTTTTTTTAAATAGAATTCAAAGGCTGACAACCCAACTCCCACCCCTCATGTCTTGTCTTCAGGGGTTAATAAGCTAGCAGGTCCTGACCCTTTTCTATTTCCAGTGTTTTAATTTTTAAAAATGTTCTTTCCCTGTAATATCAAGTTGTTAACCATGTGGTTGTGGAGTCCCAAGTGCTTATTAGCAGCATGCAGACAGACATGTTATTGCATTACCCTTTCAATTTAGCAAAATTGTGGGGATGATGCAAGTCAGCCAGTGAGAGGCCCCTTCTTTCCCGGTATGTGAATATCGCTGAACATTCCTAGATGAGTTAGTCAGTATACCCCCATCTTCAGTGTAGTGTATTGGCAAATTGAGAGGTCTGACTCTGCTCTGTGCTAGTCAGAGGGTGTTGCCAAACTGTGGCCTGAGTTCCATGGGAGCAGTGCTGAGCACTGTTTTTGGCTTCCTAGTTGAGATCTGAGCCAAGTATTTAGGCTTACACAGCCAAAACCGCAGAAATAAAAATGTAGTTTGAACAGTGTCCTAAGGAGCTTGAATATTGAAGAGACACAGTGACTTGAATTTCCAGAATTTGAATGTGAAAATATTTCTGTAGAACCAGCCTAGCAACAAATCGTTAATGAAAAACTATACAAATTCATCTACTTTTGATGCTATTTCCTACTCTAGGAACTTTTAATTGAAATATGACACTCTTCAAATAATCTTTCCTTTATGTCACAGATAAATTACACAACATCTCTCTCTCTGTCTCTCTAAGTGCTTTAAGATGTTTCACTTAAAAGCTTTGTAGCATAGAATCTGTCTTGTTTTATAAAACATCACATACATTTTCAAATAATTCTCTCAAATATCCATAAGGGTGTATAAGTAAAAACTGTAGCTATTATTTTTATTAATCATATAAGATATGTAATAATTAATATCATGTGTACATGGAGGAAAAATGTGTTCTATAAGACCATTAGATTTTGAGGTAAGGGTGAGTGTTATACAGAGTATTTTACATATGTATATTTTAATCTGTTTTTGTTCCTCCCCTCTCAATCTCTGTTATAACATTTCTTATTTGTATGAGACCATAGCGTATATGAAAATTGGAGCGATTTCCCCCCTCCCCCCCGATCTAATTTACTTCTTACCAGTGTGTTTTTACTGTTTGCATGTTCTTCAGCTTGGTGACCTATCCTGCAAAGTGCTGTGCGCCCTCTTTAAAGTGACATGGGCGTGATCCAAAGTCCATACAAGTCAATGGGAGTCTTTCCATTGACTTCATTAGGCTTTGTATTGGGCCCTAAGGGCTGGTCTACACTGCGGGGGGATCGATCCAAGATACGCAACTTCAGCTACGCGAATAGTGTAGCTGAAGTCGAAGTATCTTGGATCGAATTACCTGGGGTCCAGACGGCGTGGGATCGATGGCCGCGGCTCCCCCGTCGACTGCGCTACCGCCGCTCGCTCTGGTGGAGTTCTGGAGTCGACGGTGAGCGCGTTCAGGGATTGATATATCGCGTCTTAACGAGACATGATATATCGATCCCGGATAAATCGATTGCTACCCGCCGATACGGCGGGTAGTGAAGACGTACCCTTAGAGTCTTCAACTCCCATTAAAGCTAATGGGAGTTGAGGACACGCAGCACCTTCCAGGCTCAGGTCCTGCTGACACATTAAAACTAAACTGGTCGCTTTCTCTTTCTGGTTCTCATGCAGTAGTACACTGATGGGTATTTGGGTTTCCAACAGAATAGGGAGGAATGTATAAGTTAAAGTATTTTTGTTTAAATGTTTTAATTTAATGTAAGCATTTGTATTTATATTAGGACTCATTTTATATTCCTTTCTCATCTAAACTCCCCCAGACTTAAATGAGTCGGAAGTGAGTCACAAGGAGTGCAGACCTCTCAAGGTTGGGCAAGCTCCCTTTTTGGGGAGGCTTAAACTATTCGCTATTGACTTCCTCTTAACTAAAAAGTTAAATAGAGAGAAACGAAATAAAATGTAAGCAATGACTGAAAAGTTGAGGCCCAATCCTGCAATGATCCAAGCAACAGATATATTTGTCTGCTGGTTCTTGGAGCTACTGGTTTTCCAGTCAAAACTTAAAAGGCCTGTAGAAACCAACCGAGACCAGTTGAAGGATCTAGTGGAGTCTACTGGAATTTTCAGTAGACGTGAGCAACTGGAGCTCAGAGTGCTCTTACAGTCTGAGCTTGCAGTATAATTTATACATAAAGCATACTGTATTTGACTCATAGCTGCAAACAAAACCTTAAAAGCTAATTTTTGCTTTTTGTTTTTTGTCCTTTTTGATTTAAAGCAATCCTCAGCTATATCAGAAGAAGAAATTCAGGTGAAGAAAATCATGCCTTTGTTCAGTAAATCGCACAAAAATCCTGCTGAGATTGTAAAAACTCTGAAAGAAAACATGGCCATATTGGAAAAGCAAGATAAAAAAACAGACAAGGTATGAGATCTTGTTTTTAAAAGACTAGTGATAAGGCATTTATTTGTACTCGGGGGAACAACAGTTTGAAGAGATTGAAATTACTCTGTTCACCAAGGCTGTGATCTTGCAAGCACTTATGCATGTGAGTTACTTTATGTACAATGAGCAGTCAATGAGACTACTTCATCTGAGTAAAGTTAACCAGAAATGGGTAACAAATAACTTAATATTTCTATATCCAACAGGCTAATCCAAAAAATAAGTGATTTGTATTATTTTTTTTTAATTACTCAAGCATGTAACAAAATAAGATGAGACCATTTAAAAAGTACTCTAGGCTTTACTGTTTTTGTAGGCTGACAAACTACAAGTGTGTGTGTGCACATGCAACAACGTTATATAAAAATACAGCAATGTTCATATGTACTATATACACCCTATATATAATTGTTATATGTATTTGTATCTATCACCGTATTAGAGTGAGTGTCTGTGTGTGCACTTATGCATAATCACAAACCTGTTTAAGTACATTTAATTGCCCCAGAGACTTTCAAATTCTCTAAAAGAATTGTAATGGGTACAGTCCAATAGTAGAAATGTGGATGAGACTAAAAATAAAATGAAAACAGAAATAATTGTTAGGTAATATTAAAACACTTCTTACGCAATTCTGTCATTTGACTGCAAATGTTGTACTTTTCCTCAATACGATTACATATTAGAAGTGAACCAAAAATAAAAAAGTAAGCACATTTTCCTTCTCAGTGGAATACTCTTGGTACTTTGGGTTCACAGACAATACCTCCAAATGTGTTTATTTCTGTAACATGGATCTCAGTGAGACTTCTGGTATTTGATGTCTCATTTGGGATACCTTCAGTTAATTGTGAAGGATCAAAATAATTTCAGGAAGGGGAAAGAATGAATATATAAAAGATTAATTTTGTGCTAAATGTGTCCCCATAGCCTAATTAATGGGGACATTCAATGCAGAAATCTGGGTTTAAATCAATTTTTGTTTTTGCTTTGCAGTTCAACTTTAAATTCTCCACTGGTTGAGCTGTGCTTTTGGGGTGGGGTGGGGCGTACCCTGGAGATGGAGAATTAAAAGGAATTCTAACGTTTTATGAGAACTTTGACAATTTTTCTACTTTCTAAAAAGTCTGAACTGTTGGTACACTTTTTTTTCTCACAAGATAAAAGGGTTATAGATGTGGAAGATTTCATCCAGTTTGTCAGTATGGAAATAATTTACAAATTTGAAAATGACATTTTATTTTAATTGAATATTAAATCATTTAGCTATCTATGATATTAAATATCTATGATCCCAATCCTGCAGACTTACTCACATGTCTATGATCCCAATCCTGCAGACTTACTCACATGTCTAGTTTCAATTAAACCACTCTACAAGAGAAAGTGGTTTGTTCCTAGTTCTGTTCTTTCAGGCACAATTCAAGAAGGCAGCACTATTCAGGACAGTACTTAAGCACATGACTAAGGCCTGGTCCACACTACCCCCCCACTTCGGACTAAGGTACGCAAATTCAGCTACGTTAATAACGTAGCTGAATTCGAAGTACCTTAGTCCGAACTTACCGCGGGTCCAGACGCTGCAGGCAGGCTCCCCTGTCGATGCCGCGTACTCCTCTCGCTGAGCTGGAGTACCGGCGTCGAGGGTGAGCACTTCCGGGATCGATTTATCGTGTCTAGACAAGACGCAATAAATCGATCCCAGAACATCGATTGCTTGCTGTCGGACCCGGAGGTAAGTGTAGACGTACCCTAAGTGCTTTGTTGAACTGGGGCCTAACTCTCTGATCTGGATTGCCGAGCAGGGAGAGTCCTCATTCCCCTTGGGTCAGAGGAAAATACCTCATGTCACACAATAGATGTCCCCTTTAGTCCAGAGTTGCTCTGAAGTGACTAAAGAGAGTCACCCCCAGTAAGGAAAATGTTCTGAGTAGTCAATGTTGGGGGAGTAAATCATAGCGGGGAAATTCTTAGGGCTAAAACAAAGCTGTATAGGAAATCTGGAGGAAAAAAGTCTCTCAAAAACTAAAAAAATAAAAATAAAAAATACCCTGATGTCTGCGACTGCACATTCAAAACTTTGGGGGTCCTCGTCGATCTGCATTTATTCAGTATCTTTGCCATTCATGTGGTTTTGAGCATTCATTGGGGGAGGGGGGGAAGGAGATCTGTGTGCAACTTTCAGCTGTTCTGCTGGGCTGAGAAAGTTTGAAAACTAATTATTACTCTAGTGAGAAATTCAGTGCAAGAACACCACATCTTTCACTTTCATGAAGCTAATTAAAACGTTGTCTTGTCATAACTTTCACTGTCAATACCCATTTTTCATGTGGCTAAAAGCCTTTTCTTTTCAGGGCTAAACATACAGTATTGCTTGCTAGCAAAATAGATTCCAGCTAGATAGAACTAACTTCAAAGTCTAAAGCCTTAAAGATTTATCCTGCAGTTATTTAGACGGCTATAACTGTAGTGTGGATATGTAGTTGGAAATGCATGTTTGGACAGTTGAAAGTGGCTGATATAGCACCAGTGCCTAGAGCAGGGGTGGGGAACCTTCTTTCTATTGGGGGCCACTGACCCACAGAAAAAGTCAGTCGCAGGCCACACACCACCCCGCGGGGGTGGGGGGTGTGGAGGCTCGGGGCTTCCCCTAGGCTCCGGGGTGGGGCCAGAAATGAGGGGTTCAGGGAGCAGGCTTGGGGCTGGAGCAGGGGGTTGGGGTGGAGGAGCAGGGGGGTTCTGACCTTGGGCAGAGGGCTCGGGGGGTGGGGGAGCAGGCTCTGGGAGGGTGTTGAGATGCAGGAGAGTGCTCAGGACTGGAGCAGGGGGTTGGGTTGTGGGAGAGGGTGAGGGCTGTGGGCTCTGGCCGGGCACTGCTTACCTCAGGTAGCTCCTGGTCAGCAGCAGGGCTAAGACAAGCTCCATCCACCCTGCCCTGGCCGTGGTTCCTGGCCAATGGGAGCTGCGGGGGCAGTGCCTGAGGGCGGGGGTAGGCATACGCGGACTCAGAGCTTTCTTGATCGCCCCTGCACCTAGGGTCAGCTGACTGACCGGCCTGGCACCCTAACTTCCCCCTGCAGCGGGGCGAGACGGTGCTCATGGCTCCAGCCCTGTGGGGGGGGGAGGGGCACCGAGGCTCAGGGCTTCCGGCCCGCGGCATGGAGACTTGCCACGGGCTGGATGAAATTAAGCAGGGGGCTGGATTCCCTGACTTAGAGGCTACCAAGCCAGAGAAGAATTTCTTTTCCAGCTCTGTAGCAGTTCTGAAAGATACAAAACTACAAGGAAGTGGTGTTAAGCAGCCCTCAAATGGGGGTCAAGATGGAAGAGATCAGATGGAAGAGAATTTGAAAAACGTGAAATTTTATGAGCACACTTGAAGTGCATGATCTGTATTGCATGCGTGCTATTGTTAAATAATGCAAAAATGATTAGTACTACAGAGCTAACCATACCCCCGTAGCATTTCTAGATTCCAAGGTCAGCAAGGAACACTGTGATCATCTAGTCTGACCTCCTGTATAACGGAGGCCATGGAACTTCCCAAAAATAATTCCTAGAGCAGATCTTTGAGGAAAATATCCAATCTTGATTTAAAAGTTGCCAGTCATGGAGAATGCATCTTGATCTTTGGCACACTGTTCCAATGGTTAACTATTCCCACCATTAAAAATGTAACCTCATTTCCAGGCTGAATTTGTCTAGTTTCAACTTCCAGCTATTGGAGTGTGTTATAGTTATACCTTTCTTGGCTAGATTGACGAGCCCATTATTAAAGATTTGTTCCCCATGTAGATACTTGTAGACTATAATCAAGACACCTTTTAATCTTCTCTTTAAGATAAATAGATTGAGCTCCTTGAGTCTTTCTAATATTTTCTAATCCTTTAATCGTTCTCTTGGCTCTTCTCTGAGCCCTTTCCAATTTATAAACATTCTTTTTGAATTGTGGATGCCAGAACTAGACACAGTATTCCAGCAGCAGCTGAATCAGTGCCAAATACAGTGGTAAAAAAAAAAAATCTCTACTGTTACTTGAGATTCCCGTTTATGCATCCAAAGATTACTTTAGCTCTTTTGGCCACAGTGTCACACTGGGAGCTCATGTTCAACTGATTATCCACCATGACCCCCAAATCTTTTTCAGAGTCACTGCTTACCAGAATAAAACCCTCCTCACCCCCATTATGTAAGCATGGCCTACATCACTTATAGACAGTTTTTTGTGAAAATGTTAATAGAAACTAGAAATGCTGATTGTAAGTTAAAAAGCAGTTGCAAATCTTTTCAAGAAGAGTGTCTCTGTGGAATACACACACAAATATATTATTTATACACCCTCTCTCACTTAGTGTTAATTATCGTTGTTATTCATATAATGGGTTATGTTGACACTCTTAGTGAGCACAGGTGCATTGACCTTAATGTTGTTGCATCCACTTACATAAAATTTGGTCCAATTAATCGATATACCAAAACCAGTTCCTACTGTTCTAAAGTCCTCTTTGAATCAATCAGATGTGAAACGGAATGAAGATTCTTTAATAATGGGAAGATTAGCATAACATTGGGAGGATTGAGAAGGGTAATTCTCTAGATCTGGAAAAGTTGAATAAAGCCTCTCTTCTACCCCATCCACTTCTCACCCAACATTTGAATTGAACAGGGGCTCCTTAGAAAGTGTGCATTTGTCCTGATGGGTTCCCGTTCATGGATCTTCATATAGTGAGGAGCCAGTGCGTGTATGCATGTGTAATATAATCCCAGTCATGTGGGACCAAATTCATCCCTGATTTAACTCCAGCATTGGCACTCCGCATTAACCAGGAGTGATAAGCATGCAATCAAACAAATCATTAAGAATTGTACTTGATGTAATTATACATCAGGTAAAATTGGACTAGCTTATTTTTTCAAGATGCCTGTGGATGGATACATCAGATAGTTTGGAGTTGTGTAGACTTGGCATTTACCTTGTG